AAAAAATGTTTTAAATTAAAACTTTACAATACCTGGTAACAGAGTTCCTCTAATTTCAAAGGTAACCTGAGACGGTGTCATTTTGATGAATTTATTTTAAGATGTGCTAGGAAGAAAAAGAGAAGATGTCATTTAAAGTATATGAAAATATTAGCTCTAGATAGCTACCACCAAGAAACAAGTTAAAAAGCAAACAAACCAAAACAAAATGAATCTCAACAGTAAGCAAAAGATTTCAGAGACCTTACATATAGAGACTGAATTACTTAGGAAATACGTAGCAAGTTTTACGGCCTACAATGTTACCAATTCAACCCATAAGAATGCATAGACAAAAAAAATTTTTTTCTTTTTAAGGATTCATGATTCTCTTGTCACATACTTTCTCTTCTGATAAGCAGCTGTTCTGAACTCAACCTATCTTTCCTGACCAGGTTCATATTATGGTAGAGGGGAAAATCCAAAACAAGATAGAAAAAGGCTTGGCTCAAGAGAGGATTTCTATTATACTTTAATAAAAAGGTTTCAACTTTAATAACAAGGAAGCCAAAGAACTTAAGTATCGCCCACTGAAACTAATTATGTTCTGCAACAAGTCTGCAAATGTGCTTTTTAGTAACTAATGACTTAAAAAAAAAAAACCTTTGCCCACAAATCACTCTTTTCAGATTGTCTCTTTATTAACCATAGGACATCTTTACTCCAGTTCTGTAGATTTGAATTGAGAATCTCAATTCTGTGATCTATTTCCAAACCCTGTTGATTGATTCTAACTAATCACACACATATGCCTTTCTTTCTAAAGTTTGAACTTCATTCAAAACCCTAAGTGTCCCACCTGTACTTTGGCTTCCAAATCTCTTCCAGAAATACATTTTATGTCATTTAGAATAGTCTTCCTCACTATTCTTGCAATCACTTTGATCACTTACAGAAATCTAAACCCCTAAGTCTTTGAGGTCTTTTACTGCATATCCACATTTTCTCTTTAACTGATTTTTCATTTCTTTGCTGTTTTCCCCAGCCAAACCAATTTGTTTACCATCTCCTAATTTAAGTACCTGAAGGAAGACAGGAAATAGATTTCTTTTTAAATATACAATGCCAATTCTCAAGAAGATTATAAAATTTAAATATAGAAAGAACATATACTCCACACAAGGACACATCATATTCTACATAACTTCTCCAATATGCCCCCCCAAAAATTTTGCACCACAATCCACCAATGTTCCTAAAAAAATTCCAATGTCTTTACTTTGAATCATTTCTATTAATTTACCATTTTAAATTGTTTGTCTGCATTTATTTTATACATTATTTTACATAAAAAGCCCTAAAGAAACTTTCATAGTTATTCGTTTTCTATTTCCCTTTTGTTCTCCCTTGGCTCCCCGTGAACACACACACAACTCTGCACTGGTCACTTAATACTGCTACCCACAGTTAACCACACTTCCAAGTCAAAGTAGATAGATCTACAGTAGCAGGTAATTTTCAGAAAGTTCTGTGAAGTGAACATAGCTTATTTAAAAATGTTTTTATTTTTTTAATTACAGTTGGCATTCAATATTGTATTAGTTTCAGATGTACTGCTTAGTGGTTAGATATTTACATAACTTAGGAAGTGATCCCCCTGATAAGTCTAGTACCCACCTAACACCATACATAGTTATTACAATATTACTGACTATATTCCCTATGCTGCATTTTACATCCCCATGACTATTTTGTAACTGCCAATTTGTACTTCTTAATCCCTTCCCCTTTTTCACTTAGCCTCCCGACCCCCCTCCCTCCCACCTATCAACCATCAGCTTGTTCTCAATGGAGGCGACTTTGCCCTCTAAACTATTTGGCAATACAGGAAGGCATTTTTGCTTGTCACAATTGAGGGTGATGCTACTGGCACCTAGTGGGTAGAAACCAAGAGTGCTGCTAAATACCATACAATGCACAGAACAGCTCTCCACACATAATTGTCCAGCTCCAAATATCAATAAAGCTAAGGCTGAGAAACCTGATCTCTAATATCTATCCATAGGTGATTGCTATGGGGATCAAGAGTCCAGGCTCAATGTTAGCTATAAACTATGTATCATTCCATTTACATCAAGTATAAAATGTAAATGTTGAACGTGTGTGTGTGCGCGCGCTCGCGCACACACACACATACACATGTACAAGGCCATTAGTCAACATAGTTTCACGTCACTTGGATAAAGACTTCCTTATTTGGCAACTCTACCATTTCAGTTAGAAAACCCAACACTGCACTGGAGAAAAATCTGTCCTTGATCAAAATCATTTCTAAGATACTTTAATCTACTTTCCAAGAATAAACATGATCTATTTAAAGCACATACATCCAGTTCTAGCACTGCCAAAGAATGTCCTAAATCTAAAAATACCTCTAGATTGTTAACCCCCCATAACCTATCATTATCCACATATCTTAATAGTTCTCTTTTAACATGACATCTGATATAATAAATATGAGTATATAAACCTAAGAGTACAAATATTTCTTTTTCTTTTATTTATTTTAATTAAAATTTACTGGGGTGACAATAGATAGTAAAATTATATAGGTTTCAGTGTACAATTCTGTAATACATCATCTACATATCACATTGTGTATTCACCACCCAGAGTCAGTTTTCCTTCCATCACCATATATTTGACCCCCTTTACCCAATATTTCCTTTTCTAATAAATAAAATGGCTCATTAAAACACTGCAATATTACATTTAAATTTATCTATAGCGTATCAAGAAGAAACCTTAAGGCTAGCAAAGAAACTCGGCTTTTAAGTTACTGAATTAATTTTGAGACACAGCAAAAAGCCCCATCTTCCAGTAAAACTGCTGAATAACCAACCTCAGTCTCAACCTAACCAACCTCAATCTGAACCTGTAACTTGTACTTTCACTTAGTGTTTACCACACCATAGTTCTCAACCAAGGTCAATCTTGTCTACCTAATTACATAGCACTATTCGCTGATGAATTTTAAATAACTATTTTAACCAATTTTAGGGAAATGAAATGTAATTATTTCTATGTATTAAATCCAACAGCTGATACAGAATTATCTCTAAATTTCTACTGCATTAAATGGGAAAATTATCTAAATTTAATTTAATATAAGGGAAATCAGTTGATTAAAACTCAGCCTTTCATTCTATAAAAATTGCTTATGAGTGGCTACAATAACTTGGCTGTACACAGCTGCAGTAAATATACTATACAAAGCTATATACACAAGCACAAACATATCCCCAAAAACCTTTCCAGATGTCAACAAAGAGCATCATCATTTTCCACTTGGATTGACAAAAGTCATATAATTTGATTTAATTTCCACCCCACTCCCCCAATTAATACAATACCAAATAAAAGCTTGGGGAGCTGCTGCTACAGCAGTTTACTTGATCGTGGACAGAGGCCAAAATTCTGGTGCAGGATTGAAGTGTGTAATTCTGGCACCCAGCTACCACCAAAACAGTGGTGACGAAGTAAAATACTGTTCTGAGATGGAACGCAAAACTTACACACCCACCAATCAACACTTCCTCTTCATCAAAACAAGCAAAAAAACCCCAAACAAACCACCCAAGTTAGACAGGGGAGGTCTTCAGAATATACATAAAACAAAGAGTAAGATGAAAAAATGCTGGTCATTTTTCCATACCTGAGCTGACTGTGTAACCAACTCACCTATTACCTCATGTTACACTTCCTGAGACAGGTTTTCTGGTTTGGTTTTGTTTTTTAAACATGACATCCATTTTGTGCCTTTTGAAGATAAATTTTAAACAGCACTCTCTTCTGAGATTTTGAGCAGCACTTAACACTACTTTAATACTTTTTAAAAGATTCAAGCAATTAGCAAAACACATTGTAATTTACATTTTAAAATATTTCTGCATTTACACTACCTGGCAAAATAAGTTTTACTCGTTTTTGTCAAACTATTCCAACACATGACCTTACTAGTTTACCAGCTTAGTGGACAAAAGGAAGATTTAAGCAAACCAAGGTACAGGGACATTTAGTTTAGAGCTAAATTGAAATCATAGGTATTTTTAGCTAAAACGTGTTTCTCTGGCCAAAAAGAACATCTTTCACTGCTTTCCTCCAAATTTTTTCAAAGAAAAAAAGCTGTTTCCAATTCTCCTTGCTCTTTCTTAAACTCCCAACAGCTATGAGTCTCATAACTGAGTTAATTTTCTGTTCATTTTGGTTTACTGTGACCCCAGTAAACTCTGAGCCAACATTTTAATCAAGTGTATGCAGACATGAATAAATTTTTATTTTAGAAAGCATTTCTGGAAATTTCATTAATCCAAGTTAAGTCCTTAATCAACTTTCTAAGCAATGCAGTCAAGTTTTTCCACACGTTTTCCATTTCATGTTATCTTGATATTACTTTCATATATATTTCATATACTTTTCCTGGTTAAGTAGTTACACACACAGATTTGATTCATCAACCTACTTTTTTGTACATATCCAATTTTACTCATTCTGCTACTGGGAGACTTCTTGTGTAGTCCTTCTTTCTCTCGGAGTACAACTTTCCGAAGCCTTATTTCGTCGCTAGAATATCGGTTCTCCCTAGTTCTTAAATCAAGAACGGGCAGGGCCATGGGCAGCTTTCCATGTTTATTTTGTGTTATTTGTAGCCAGAACATTAGAAGTTGGAAAAAGGACTGACAGCTTGTATTGACTTTTTAGCTAAGTCACAAAACTGTCAGAAATGTAGCAAGATGGAGGCACATGAAGGGGTGGGAGCTGGGGGGACACAGGGGAGGTGAAGAGTATGAAGAAGTCATCATCAAAGTCCAAACATCCTGCTCGGCTCCATCAGTTCCCTTACGTTGCTTCTCCATCGGACTCTACAGCTGCCTCAAGGTGAGGGAATTCCCTCCAGTTCACGACGGAATTCACGGCGGGTTTCCCTACAGCCGGGCAGGGGGCTGAGCGGAGGGGCTGCGGAGGACGCACCTAGCTGAGGCTTTCTCGGAGAGCTCATCAAGACACACGGAAGGGTTTGGGAAAAGCAGCGCTTTGGAGGGAAGGGGGCCAGCGGTCTCAAATGTGTACCGAGGGCACCGATGTCTGTTCCCGGAACCTTTTCCTAGGAGAGCAGGGCATTCTGGTTTCTTGGGATCCCTGAATGACCCCCAGCATACCCTAGACTATGTGATTAGGCCGTTTCAGAAAAGCAGCAGTGGTCAGGACACGAACGAGTCAGGGACGGACGGAGAGCGCGGTGGCGGCCAGGGGCGCGCGCGTCGCGAGGACACGGACGGCCTCGGCGGCACGTTTGCTCCTTCCTTCCTTCCTTCCCTTGGCACTTCTCGTATTCGTGGCGGCCCTACGCTCTTTGCATTCTGGCACATCGAAAACACTTCCCAAACGTCTCAGGCGGGAGAGCTAAGCACCGGGCAGCCCAGCGGAAACGTGGCAGCAAACAATAAAAGTAGACTAAATAGATGTTACCCACCGGCTCACCGCAGCGAACGTCCAGGCCGCTGTTTTCCCGGCCGGCAGTGTCCAGCCCGGGCTGGGCGAGCCTGCCCACCCCTCGGCCCCGCAGCGGGTCCCGGCGCCCCCCGCCCCGCCGCGTACCGGGGCCGGGCCGCCCTGACAGCTCCACTGCCACGTGAGCGGCCGCCGAGGCCCCCGCACGGAGCGCTGGGTCCGCCTGGCTGCCCGTCTCACCTGCCGGATTCGCAGGTCCGCGCCGCCGCCGCCGCCGCGCCCGAGAGCGAGTGCAGCGGGCCAAGGTGCCGGGTTCCCGCTGTCCACGGCTCGCCAGCGCTCCCCAAGGCCGCCCGCGGCGGCGCCCAATGGCAGGAAGCGGCTGCGCTCAAACCGGTTTCAGCTGCTCCAGACCAAACTGCCAAGCCACCCCGCGGGGCGGGGCCGGAGGGTCGGCTGGGCGGGGACTGACGTCACGCCCGGCGCCCTCCCGGCCAATCGGTGGCCTCGCGCGGGAGGGGCGGGCCCTGCGTTCCTGGAAAGGGCCCGCGGCCGCGGCCGAGCGTGGCTGGGCATCCCTCGGGTCCCTGCTGTCCGCCTTTTCCGCCGGCCTGGAGTCGCAGCGGGCGGCGGCGCAGAGGAGACCTGGCAAGTGATCATAGACGCGTACCTTGGTCCCCAAAGCCTCTTTACGACAACCAGGTGTGCAGGCTGGAGCTGCAGTTCTGAATTGTATTTTTTCCTATTCGAAAGTGAGGGAAATTAGCAGGCCAGGTGTTTTCTGGAAAGTTTCCGTTACAAAACAACAAGCACACTTGGATCACATATTTGAAGTTGAGAGTGAGAATTAGGTGACTTAAGATGGTTGAGAGTTATACCTTTGCTATGCAAAGTATGGTGTGCAGGTCAGCTGCATCACTTGGGAGCTGTCAGAATTGCAGTCTCGGGACTACCACATCTCTGCATAGTCAAATCTGCATTTAACAAGATCCGCGGGCTATTTATATGCAAATTAAAATTTAAAGGAACTTTTCTGAAAGCTAGAAGACCCTCTTTGCAAAAGTTGTAGTCGTTTATATCCTGAAAAGATCGTCCCTACGAAAGAAAGGAAGAAAGAAAGAAAGAAAAAGAAGGTTTTTCTCGCTTTTGATGGTCCCAGAAAAATTAATCAGCATTTACTAGGTACCTAACTTAAACCGTTATCTTTCCAGCATCAAGGTTAACCTTTGGTTAACCACTAACAAAGTTATCAGAGTCATATAAATTGAGATACTGACAATTAAAAAGAACCACTTTTGTTGGGAATGTTGAAGAACTCATAATAAGAGATAGCTTGAGTTGTAAATTGGTTGGAATGAGCCTACTGAGGTGTTTGGATTAGGTGAGCTCCAGCTTTAGACATAGCTTCTAGTTTCATAAATCAGGTTGTTCACAGCCACATTTGATATCTGAGCTTGGATTAGATATCAGAGCATTTCTGACAATGTCATCCATTTAGCTAATAAATAATTATTAAGTGCTTATTTAGTGCTAGGCTCAGGATGCAGTGGTTTTTGATGGCACTCGTTTTAATACCAAATTTCTTAAAGAATTAAAAGTTCCTCCTAATTATATACCATTATCTACTAAAGTCTGCTCTTGTACATTTCCTAATAGCTTGGAGTTGATTTCATTCCTCTGCTGTTTGTCATACTACAGTGATGAATTTCTTCCATATGAGTTTTCTTCCTTTAAATGTTTATGATAGATCTTTATTTTCCTGTAATCACCATTTGGTCAAGCACTTTTCTAATGTTCATAGGTCAAGTTAATGGATCTAATCCATGCTCCTTCCCTAAATCCTATTGAAATGACAGGAGTATTATACAGGTTTTTGGAAAAGTCATGACGTATTTTTTCTATGTTTTTCGTTGCAAAAAATGCGTCATGACTTTTCCAACAACCCAATACATATCCGAAGGATGCCACCAGCTTTGTTTCGTGCTCATTCTTCTCCCAGAAATATTCATTATGATTTGGATAAAAGACTGGTCATTTGTGCTTATCTCTTGATCAAACCATGAAAATATTGTAAATATTCTCCTGAATTATTCCACAATTGCTCTACTGTCAGAATCTTTTATCAGACTCAAAACCTTATCAATTTTGTGTTTCATTTACCTCAGTAGTGGTTCTGCTCCTCAAAGATACTATCCATCCATACTTTTCATTTCCTCTGCATTAGTCCATGAGCAATTTCCCAAGTTACAGCATGCACTACTTATTCTTAATGTATGTGACAAAAATGTTATAGTTTAGTTTTTGCTATTGATTTTTCTTCATATTAAGTTCAGTCCTATGTGGAAGAAACCAAGGAAACTGCTGATTTCCAAAGCTATTGGGTTGTTGGAAAAGTCATGACGTGTATTTTCTGTTTTTCATTGCAAAAATGCGTCATGATTTTTCTGACAACCCAATATTAAGGTGTCTCAAATGTGAACCTTTAAACTAATTTCAAATTGGCTATAGCTTTTTTGGTGTATTGCTTTCCAAGCTCTCAAATGGATGATAGAATCAAAATGTCTGGAGCAGAAAAGGTTTGAGTGGCAAGGTCAAAATGTCTTCATTGATCTGTTTCTTTATCAGTGCGATGGGAATTTAAACACCACAGGTTATTTCAGATGAAGTTTGAGAAGGCATCCAGCACCTAACACAGCACCTGCTGCTCTCTAATGCTTGCATCCCAGCCAGGCCTGCACTGTAACTCAGTTCTATGAAGGAACTACCAGTTTCATCAAATCTAAGACATGGATTATAAGACAATACTAAGAATAAAAAAAAAGTGCTGCCCTTTAAACTATACCATGCTACTGTCTTATAACTTAGACTGTTTCATTTTACTTATTGAAAATATTCTTTTAGGCCTATTTAGACATAACTTTTGGTATATATTATTCTTGTGCATACATACAAAGGAAAATACAAGTGAAATAAATTGTTTAGGTATTCTCAAACTTCTTCACATTTATAGTTCAACCCTGAATAACATTGGAATGTTCTTGTTTTTCTAAACAATATTTTCCAATAAAATTAGTGATGCAGCTTTTTTTTTAAGTGCTCAAATATTATTCCTGGGATTTTTCTCCAAGCCACTGATGCCCATTGGGCAAGTTTTGATGCCATTACTATTTTTTATCCTAAGAGAAGGTTATCAATAAAGGTCTACAGACAACAGCCAACACTCCTTCAAATGGTCCTCAAATGGTTTGTACACTGAAACACCCAGTGGTTGTAGCTGTTAATCATGCTACCAGGAAAGTCACATTCAGGACAGCCCAAATGATGACAAGTATGTCAGGACTGCTGCCTGGCCATCAGTGATTTCAGAGGTTAAAATTACAAAAGGGGGATATTAGAATGGGTGAAATAAGGAAATATCCACCTTAACTCACAAAAGTGTGGCCATTAAACTAATTGCATAGATAGATAATCAATCTACAGTTATTGACACATTAGATTTCCTTAACCATGTTTTAAATCTATATACTAGAAAAGGAAGATCTTTATTTTTTTTAATTTGTTTAATAAAAGAGTAATCTAGAAAGATTTATTAGTCACTATAGAGTCTCCTTCTCCACAAAAAGGGATAGTAGAATAATCATTTTTCATAACTGATTGGGGAAATCTTCCATTTAATTTTGACTAAAGTAACTTTTCACCTCTAAAGAAGTCATTTGTGGGCCACCATCCCCATACAAGTGTTAGTTCAAATTTTCATGTTTAATTAGTGTAGCATTCTACAGACACATCCTGAGTAGTAAGATACTGTTTGTAAACTGATGCATTGATGAAACAATCTCTGAAGAAAAATTACCATATGTAACATAATGTAACATAATTGTAACTCTGGAAAGTGTCCTGTGGACTCTTCAGAAGTCAAGACCTTGTAAAACTAAGAAACAAAAAGTTATATTAGAAAACTGCTGAACTGAGCCATTTTGTTTCCAGCCTGATTCCCTTGTTATTAGTTTTCTGTCTTCCCAAATGCCTCGAAGTCTTATGCATTCTGCATTAATGTGAATTCCCCAAGGGAATTCCCTTTACTGCTCAAATTGTTCAACAATTGACATGCTTCCATTTTATCATTTTAGTGAAAATACTAGTGACTGTCTGCGGAATGAGTGGCTGTTTTCAGGGCATATCCTTACTCTGAACAAAAGAGCTCTAACAGCACTCCCACCACACACACCAGGCTCAAAAACCCAGCTGCTCACACCAGGCTGGCAGTGGGCCAGGAGAGCTGGGACTGGAGTCAGGAAGGCAGAGGTTCTTGGCAATGGTGATGCATGTATTATGTGAATGATTTAGGTGAGCTGATTACAGACAATGATCCTGTTCTACTATTGATTGGTGGCTTGCCCCATACCTTTGTTATTTTACCTATAAAATGAAAATAAGTGTGAGCACTAATACGTGGTTGCTTTTATCTCTTATACCTCTATTTTTCCCTCCTATAATCAGGTCGTTAAGGACAAGGACTATATGTTATTATTAATCTTCACATGCCAGCATAGTGCCTGGCACATAGCAGGTCTAAATATGCTTATAGAAATCACTGAAAATT